TATATTAAAATAAAGATTTGTATTTTGTTTTTTAATTAGCATTTAGTTTAAGATAACTATATTTAATTTATATTTTATTCAAGAAAATTTTTCATCTAGGTAATTGCAATAGATAAAGATGAAGGCGTAAACAGCAACATAGATTATATCATCACAGAAGGAGATATGACAAGATTTAAAATTCATCTGAAATCTGGTAGTATTTATTCTCGAAAAGCTTTCCAGCCCGGTCAGACATTTGAATTAATGGTGATTGCACTTTAAATATTTGTAATTTATCACTTTATCACTCACTACAGCAAGTTGTTAATTATATTTAGTACATAAAAATGGTCTTGTGCAAAGTATTATTAAATGATACAGAAATTGTTGTTAATTATATTTAGCATATAAAAATAATTTTAAAATATGTTTTAGAATTTATATTAAATAATGATAAAATATTTTTAGTAATTAATGTCTAAATATCTATTATAGTCAATCATAATTAAGGCTGCAATTTTTCATTGTTGTTAATGAACTATGTTATATTTATGACATTGATTGAAGATGTCTATCGCTATTAGTGTAAATATTGCTTTCTACTGTCTGTTAAGACATAAAGCACTGAGAAAATTAACATTAATCGCGTTAACATTACATTAAAAATAATATTTAAAAAAATTAGAGCTTATTTTTAATTAATTTAAAAGGTAAATTAAATAAACTTTTACTTTTAAGTAGTATTAAAAGATAAAATAATACTTTTATTAAGTAATTTCCATTAGTTTGATTTGTTTTATTAATTAACAAGCAATTTACATCATTGACATTATTCTCTTCTACAATTCTTTAACTGTGCTTGCGATAATGCTAACCATACAATTGATTGTGATATTTATCAAGGGAAATTAATGAATATGTAATTATTTTCTTGAATAGATTAAAGCGTCTGATAATGGAACGCCACAAAGATCATCTGTTGCTAGAGTTATTATTGAAGTGGTACCGCTGTACAGATCATCTCGTCTTCCAGTTTTTCAAGATGTTGATTCTCATATTGTTGTGACAGAGAGTGATAAAGTGGGACATTTGGTTACTCTAGTGAAAGCAGAGCACACAGAAGGAAGAAGGCTCTGGTATTCTATACTGGGTATGTAATTGTTCAAGAAACAATTCTGATTTTATATTTATCAGTTAATTCATAAAAATTGGTAATGTTAAATCAGTAGTTATTGTTTAAATTTTCAAACATTCTCATAATTCACGTGAAATAAAATATTTTGCAGTTGGTAAAATTTATAGTTTCATTCAAAACCACAAAGTTTTCTCATTCATTGAATTAATTTTATCAACAAATAGGAATATATTTTTTTTATTGTAAATGAAATTTTCAACTGCAGATATTCGTATTCATGATAGATAATACCATTAAAGTCTAACAATTTAAAATTAATATTTGTATTCTCATAAAGAACAGACTATTAATACTTTTAAATCAGAGTGGATAAGAATCATTTTTCTTTCCTCTTATAAAGAATCAGAAAATAGAATGGGGATGGGCAATTTTTGGTACGTCTGCCAAACATGACATGCTGACAACTTTTTCCAGCATACAACCCAGGACTTACCTTAAAAAAATAAATATCCAACATTTTTGCTGAGTTGTATATTTTAATTTAATAATAGAATACAGTTTTCTTGAGTAGAATGATACTAAATAAAAATATAATAAAGAAACAAACACTATCAGCTGCTTTACTAATAATAACAAAATGAAACAAGCATCTTATTTCCAAGATATCTTCTATCTCTGCAATACATATACTGACTTAGTAGAAATTAGCCAATTGAGTAAAAAATCTGCTAAATCTAGGTTCCTTTACCATTGTCTAGTTACTAAACCAAATAATATTATGCTACTAAAACTTTCACTTGATACATGAGAAAATTTTACATCACAGATTTAACGATTTTGGCACACATTTAAAAAAAAAAGTGCCCACCCTTGAAATAGAATTTGACAAAACTGAATTACCTTTGATCTTGATGGCCTATTTGTAATGAACAAAATTTAGGTCAGCAATATATTCCATAATACACTGAAAGCCTCACAAGAGGAAAAGTCTTTGACTTGGAAATTTCGATATTAAAAATAAAAACAGCCTTTTCCAAGAATTTTACAATTAAAATATATATATATATATATATATATATAATTTTCTCAAACTTTAATTTCAAATACATTATTCTAATGTATTTGAAATATGAGACGATAGCCAGCTTGTAGAAGCTTATAAACTTTTACTCCATCAAGACTTTTTCAAAATTACTATTAGATTTTACTTTTTTACCTTGCGTAACGAATAAAACTTGCGCACATTAATTTAAAATCTGTTTCTTAACAGCACTAGACAATATTATATTTTAAATTATATTAAAAGACTCAGACATTTACACTCACTCTAATGCTGTTTTACCAAGTTAATATCTAATAATGTGTTATTAATTAAAATATTATTTGCATAGATTATGCACTAAATATATTAAATTGTTCATCAATGCATTTAAATTGAAAATAATTAACAAATTTATAAGTCATGCTTTCATTCTACATTTTACAGATGGAAACGTGAATGATACTTTTATTATTCAACCTAATACTGGTGCTGTACTTTTGGCAAAGAAACTAGATTGGGAAACAAAATCAAAATATAGCCTTAACCCCTTTATATAAGAATATTTCTTTTTAAAATCTATGTATATAAAAATAACAGCTCCTTTCACACTAGAAGAAATGAAAGAATTGAATTCTGTTTGTTATATATAATACATTCTGTTTTGTCAACTTGTTTTTCTTTCATTTCTATAATAAGATATTGTGGACTTATACTTGATTTTGATAACAATTTGTAGGTATTGAAAGTTTGTGTATAGGCCTATATAT